TTGTTTTCACTACTTATGAAAATGTTTTTTTTTTTAAATTTTTGGGCAATCTCGCCCATGATTTTTTTTGAAATTTTCATTTTTCGAAAGTGACATAAATTAACTTTTTTAATAGATATGCATTCCTATGGTGGCTATGGAAGACCCGCAACAGTTGGGTGTTCAGAAAGGAATGGATTTCAGAGGTGGAAACTGCAAAGGGGGCAAAAGTAGAATGGCTGGAGTTTTTGCTAGTGTCTGGTTTTTAGTTTTCTCTTTTTCTTTTGTTTCTGGATGTTGGGGTGACTGTTTTGCCGGAGTAATAGAATGTAGGGCAATCATATGTTTTGCCAGTGCAACCTCTGTTACTCCCTTCTAGTATTTTCTGTTCGGTAGCTTTAGGGAGTCTAGTTCTTAATTTCTTTTGACTGGCAGCTAGGAGTTGTGCTCAGGTTGTGTATAGCTGCGCTGTTTAGTTTGATTTCTTCTTGTTTCTTCTTTTCTTTTGCTGTCTGTTTAGTTGGGGTTGGGGTTGGGGTTAGGTATTTTTTCTTGCTGCTCTTTTTGGGTTTATTATGCTGTTTTGCTCAGAGGTGCACCGAGATTTCCGGTAATCCTCGTTTCTCCTTTTACTGTCTTATTTTGGTTTGGGAGTCGGTAGTAAAAGGTCAGCCAGTTGGTTGGACGTTTCATGTACATAAATCTTTTGAGTTTTAATGTTATGCTTATCATTTGTCAAAAAAAAAAATAGATATGCATTCCATCTTATCTTGATGTCCATATTTAAATTTTGTTTCCTTTTTTGTGGGTATTGTTTTGCTTTGATTTTAATATCGTTAATTAGATATTCCCTCTATATATTAATTCAAAACGTGTTAAGCCTAAGTGCAGGCTCACACGCTTTGAAATAATACATGTCAAAATATCTTACTTTGTATTTAGATTCGGATAAAAATTTTGGAAACATAATTGGCTTGGAATCAATCAACCATAAATAATTATTTCATCATACCTTATAAATCTATCTTTCATTACCATAAATTTATTGTCTTCCATTAATTTGTTATTAATCAATATCCTATAAATCTCTCTTTCATTACCATAAATTTATTGTCTTATATAGGTTTAGAATTTTATTCCAAGAAAAAAGTACAAAATCAATTGAAATGTACAACTATTTTCAACAACCACTATGTGACATTTAATGGATAAATATATGAGTTGCATGTGGATACTACAAAAAAATTGTTATATTTCAACGGAAGATCCTATGGTAATATATTCCAATGGAAATTCCAACAGATATTCCAATGGTATAGCTTCCCTTGGAATGATTCCAACAGAAATTCTAACGAAAATATTTTGTTGAATGTGTTTTTCATTAGAATTTTAGATAGAATTTGATGATTCCAACGGCTATATTTTCAATGGTTTTTTACTGTAGGAATTTCCATTGGAATACGCAATTTCCGTTGAAATTTTTATTTCCACCCCTGTTGGAAAATCTACTGTTGGAATCGTCAAAATCCAACGGAAATTCCAATGGAAAACTCATTTTCAACGAGATATTTATGTTGGAATCCATTGAAAATTTTTTAATGGAAATAATAGCATTAAATATCCATTGAAATTGCCGTTGGAATTCTATTGAATTATATTTCTGTTGGAATTTCATTATTTTCTTGTAGTGGGAAGTATTATACAATCACTGCTTGAATAGAAAATTATAATATTCATAATGTATAGTTTGTAAATACGGAAATGAGTAAATTATTTTATAATTTGTTGAACACTATAAACAAAAATCCTAAACAATTTACTATAATATGAAATATATATTAACTAGAAATTATATATCATTGAATATATATATATATATATGTATAAATTAAACTAATATTTAATAGTATTTTATCTTATTTAATTATATTAATCTCCCTCTATATATTAATTCAAATCGTGTTGAGCCTAAGTGACAGGCTTGCACGCTTTGGATGCTGACTTGACAAATATCTGTGCTTCGTAATTTGGTTTGTGCAAAAAATTACGGTTTGGAGTTAGACTTGGTATAATCCATAAATATTCTTTTTATTAACTTGGTAATTGTCATTTATTTTTGTCCATTATCTTTTTAACTTGGGCAACCAAATTCCTTTCCAACTGTATGATATTATGCCCAATAATATTAAAGAAGATTCCATTTCATCTTTGATCCATGAAAAAACCAATAAATCTCTATCATTTTTTCATTATAATTAGGTGCACGAATATATAGGATGGTGTTAGTTGTACACGGTGTATTTTCTCAATTTTATACACTTATTTATACATTATTTCTTAATTTTATACACTTATTTTATTTGTTCCATTCTTAAAACCAACATATGCGTATTATTTTTTTTATTATTTCAACCTTGATTCATCTAATATGTCAATTGTTTTTACCTATGTGGTAATATCTTTCTTCACACTTCAAAAACTTCAACATAATTCATAAAAAAAAAAAAAAATTGAATGCCTAAATTTGGGTGATTTGCTCATGATACCATAATTAATTTGGTTGTGATAGTTTATATCTTTTTATTCCTTTTTTTAATAATAATAATATTACAAATTAATGTTGACACATTATGTTTTCCTATTCGTTTTTTAAAGTGACTATTATCTTACTAACCACTTAATATGTATAAAATGAACCACTTGTACTATTATTTTTTATCTGAGTTGGTGAGAGAGTACACATCAAGCAACATAATTGACAACATCATTCAATTCTATTGTTGAAATTACTACAACGAAAGAACATGGCGAATTCATGTCCGTTATTTACGAGTATGGTTTACGCATATGATAAACTAGCCCAAAATGCGGCAAACTATGGTGATTTGTATTGTGGATGGACATGTATTGTTTCTCATATTAACATTATCCAATGTTGGTCTGTTTCTACCAAAATCTATTTTCAATCATGAACAACTATATGTCGTCATATCTAGCGTTAAGAACAGGCAGGGCTTGAAATTTTTGTGCTCCGACAAGGATGAAAAAAATGTAAAAGAGAACTAATAATGTTGTGTGCAATTTTTTTTTAAGAATTTAAAACAAAATACCAATGTACGTAGTTGTTTTACAACTACATTTATTTATTTTTTATATTCTTACAATAACTAAACTCTTTTACTTTTTTTGTTCAAATTATTTTTTCATGCACCCGTGTAGTACACGGGTGTCGTACTAATCTAGAATTATTAACGATGGTAAATCAAATAAATTGCCAATATCTATTTTAAATTCTTCCTATAAAGCATGACAATTTTTTTTCTTTCATATATTCTTTTTTTCTTTTTCCAATATTACGTCTTTTTTTTTTTTTTTTTTTTTTTAAATTTCAATTTCTTAAGATGTTGGAAATATTTTTCCTATTTTCATTTTAACATTTATTATATACAAATTAAAATATTTATCAATCTTTCCAAAAATTTGGAATCACTTTACTAAACTAGAAAAGAAAAATTCAAGTACTCCTTAATTTAAATAATCTCAAAATTTCTGAGAATACCCAAAAACTATGGTCAATTGTAAGATAATTACAAACCACAAATAAATTATATGATTATAATATCTACATTATTTTTAAATCAAATATTTCTAATTAAGTTTTCAAACATTCCTAAAACTTTTTTAATCTATGTATAAGTAATTACAATAAAAATAATATGTCAATCCTTCACATTTTTATTTTGTGCTCAATAAGTTAGACAATAAAACTTATGACTACATATCATACTTTAAAAAATATATATTTATAGATAAGTTAATAATAATAACTAAATAAATATTAAACTCTTAAGTTGGAATATTTCATATTTTTATTCAAAGTTCTTTATATCTCTGATGTTATGTGGAGTCTTCTTAATTTTCTTTGAAAATATTTTTCAAAAAATTTGAAAAATTCAGCATTTAGCTGATATATTTTAGTTTAAAATTCAATTAATTAAACCATTCTCACGTAATGAAATCTCTTTGTTTTGGTTATTAACGAGATATATTTACTTCAAAATTAAATCAATCACACGCAATTTCTTCGGCTGCACGTTCTTATGCCAGACACTTTTTCCAGATGAGATTTTTGGCAAGGAAGTTGCATTTTTTTTTTTTTTGTTTTCCCGGAGAATTTAAACACTTGTGANGCCCAGAGAATTTATGCAAGTGTGACATGTGACAGGTGAGAAGTCCTCGACTAATAGGAAAGTCAATTCCAATATGGACTGTATTGTCAGTTTTCATATCTTTATTGGATTGTTATTAATGCCAACAATAACTGAATTATTTATTTTTATGTTTATTGTTACTAATTATTTAATATGCATCATATTTATTTATGAGATTTGCATATTATTTATCTGATATGTATAATATTTATTTATGGGATGTCCTGTCTAATATGCATGATAATTAAGTAGTTGCTTATTTTTCATATAAATTAATTATGTCAATTAGTTAGTTGTTTTATTTGTATGGTAATTAATCATGAAAAATACATATTAAGAAATCAATAATGAGATGTTTAAATATAAATAATTATATTTAAATAAAGTTTAAAAAAAAAGTTTTAAGAGCATCTCTTATAGGAGGTTTTGGAACAGGTTTATAATTTTAAACCTGTAGGTTTTTTATTATTTAACACATATTTAAGGTTTCTGAATGTAAAACAGATTTGAGAATCCAAAACTCTTCTAAACCTCAAAAATATAAAAAGAAGAAAAAAGAGTAAATTACAAAGTTGGTATGCAGCTCACGTGAGTTGGCCAAAGGAAATATTTGTTGTCACGCGCTAATAAAAGAGAAAGAGTGAGAATGAGGTTTTGGATTATTAGGAGGTTTGTATAAGAGGGTTATTAAGAAATAAGTCTGTTCATTGATATTATTGACTATTTGCAAAAAATAAATTACAATTGGCTGGCCTTGCATGTTTCCACGTGGATGTCCCTTTTGTTAATTTCTTGACGATGACTAATTAGAAAATTAGGGAATATAATTCAATTGGAGGATTCGAGAAGGAGTGCATCTCCACCATGCAATCCGCCACACCGCACCAGAAGGCTGACGCCAACGGCCTCGCTTTCTTCACCCTCAAGTACAATTAGGGTTCTCCATTTAGGGACCAAATTGAACCTCTCTCTCATTTTGCAATGTCAGAGTTTAATTGCATAAATACTACATTAGTTCTAGTTTGCATTTTGATTGTACTCTGATGCCTGTACTAAATTGAGAAATTAGGTTTCGTCATTTGGGGATCGGATTTAAGCTCTCTCATTTTTTTGCAATTTCAAGCTTGTATTTTGATTGTACCCTCTGATTCAAACAGGCCTGTGCTGAATTGGGGAATTAGGGTTCGTCATTTGGGGATCAAATTAAATTTCTCTCTCATTTCTGCAATGTCTGCACAAATGCTAAAATTGCCTGTAGTTGGTATTTTGATCTCTCTGATTCAAACAGGCCTGTGCTGAATTTGGGAATTAGGGTTATTCATTTAGGGATCAAATTGAATCTCTCATTATTGGCAATTTCAGAGTTTAGCTGCATAAATGCTATAGATTAGTTGTAGTTTATCTTATGATTGTACTTTCTGATTCAAACAGGCCTGTTCTGTATTGGGGAAAATTCAGTAAATTTGTAAAAAAACTGTGATGCATGTCCATTGCAAATGGAGCTGGAAGAGTCATTGTTGACAATTCTCCTGGCATAGTGCTAATAATGGACTATATCAAAATGGCTCAATTAAATTCTAGTGTTTCTTCTATTAGTGTATGTGTAGTGAAGTTTCTAGAAAAAAAAAATATATCAAACGACGCAATGCACCTTGGGTCGCTACGGAAACAGCCTCCTTGTATAATTACAAGGGTAAGGTCTGCATACAACTGACCCCCCAGACCCCAACCTGTTGGGAATATACTGGGTATGTTGTTGTTGTTTTTGTTGTAAAAAAACTGTGATGGGATTTTTGTAATCTCCTCTGTTTTTTCTTCCTTAATCCGGCCAGGTTTGTGGAGGAGGAGGACCAAGCGGTTAACCTAACAGCCGACATCAAGAAAGTGACGCTTTCGGACGTGTCCCCTCTTCTCCAGTCGGCACTTAGCGATTGCCTCGACCAATACAACCCGCTCGATGACTTGATCGAGGATGCCATTAATGCTGTCCTGGGGAATGCTTACGTGGACGCCAAGAAATTCATCGAGGCTGCCATGTCAGATATCGACGTGTGTGACTCGCAGCTAAAGGCAAGCAATGTTGAGGAGAAGGCGGAGAACAAAAACGGGGACGAAGTCCAGCTGTCCAAGAATCTGAATACAATACTTTCCTCAAAAACATATTATCGGCCGCCTCAAACATTATCGAACCTAAAGCAAACGAAGGAGGCGTGGAGAAAGTGGTCATCGGCACGCATATGTAGCGTTTTTCGTGATTTTTGTTTTACAATTTTTTTTTTCTCCGAAGAAATATATAAAAATTGTGTTTCATTAGAGTAGGTTGGATTGTGTGCACGAAGGACTTCTGACATATCTTTGTGAATATTTCTGAGTTTCGGCATATAGATAAGAAAAATGCTACAAGTACATAATAAATGTACATAAAGGTTTACATAACACTCACATGGAGTGGGATCCACTTAATTTTTTATTTTTGGTAGGACCTATATGTGAGTGTTAATGTACACCTCTATATACATTATTATGTACCTATAGCATTACTCTATGCATAATGGATTATAATGAAGATAGGCTGAGATACGTTATGCAAATAGCTTAAACAAGCCTAATAACACAAATTATATATGTATGGTCATTTGAGGTTTATGAGTTATGACTCTGATAATCTGTAGATAATTGCTGCAAAAGAGTAAGCTTAGGCCTCATGTTCTTTTTCTCTTTTGATCCTTGCTTAAAATATCCCTGAGTTTGGATTTATTATGTGGAATAACGGAGATTACAGTGATTCTCATTGGAAAAAACTTTGGTACTAACTTGAGAGCCCTAAGGTAGTTGTTATGACATGAACAATAAACAAATACAAGATATTGGAACCCTACAACAAGAAGAATTAGTAATAACTTATAACCCTCCTCTGTAAGGCACTCCCGAGCTCGGAATCCAATCATCCCCGAGGAAAAACGCCGACACAGTGAAATTCGCGGCGTCCGTCTGATTGATCAAATGAAACCCGGGCCATTTCACCCTAGCTCTCGTGTTCGCCCCGGGTCCCGTGTTGTTGAACTCCGCGTAGTACGAGGTGTTGAGCGCGAAATCCCCAACCCACTCGCTCCACCCGGCCGGCTCAATCGACCCATCCATAAACGACTGCATGTAAACCGTCCTCGAGTATTCCTTCCATGGTCGGCCGAGGTATGTCTTGACAGTGCCATTGCTGGCCGCCAGGTCTTCGGCTGCCCGGACTGTACAATTTTGGATAGAGATGCCCGTGTTCTGGTTGGGGTCGGTTCTGCCCTGGGCAGTAATTGCGTTGAACTGCCCGGGCATTGGGAGGCGCGGCCGGAGGCTGCAGCCCTGAAAAACGACGGCCGCGTTGCCGAAGATGAAGTCGACCGTGCCGTAGATATGGCAGTTGCGGTAGAACTGTCGGAGGGAGTGGACGTACAGTGTGTCCTGGTAAGCCTCGAAGCTGCAATTGTAGAAGACCGAGAGATCGGCCCCGTTTCGGAGGGCAACTGCCTGGTGCTTGGTGGGGCCCGCCGTGTTTCGGACGGTGATGTCGGACGCGACGAAGTTGGGGGCTACCACGGCTGCCGAAATGGGACGGAATAATCGGTTAGTGGGTTTCGAAACGCTTTAGAAAAAAGTAAGAATTTAATGCTTTCCCGNTATCAAGCAAATTAAAATTAGTTAACTATATTTGAAGGCACAAACAATTGTTATATAATAATAATTTCTATATTGTTTTTTATCCAATTAATTCGTTAGAATCACTCAAAATTGTGACTTACATTTATATTCTTCATTTTTATTAATAATGATAAAATTTATAAAATATAATATTATTATTATATAATTTATAATTTTAAATGTACACACACGCGCGCATATATATATATATATATATATTCCTTTACTATATAACTTATAAAATCTTATTTGCATGAGTTTCAAAGTTATTATTATTCCTTTATATATTGCACCTAAAATTTAGATAGAATCAAGCTATATTCATCGTCAGATAGAACGTATCTTAATTAATATAGAAACTGTACTTTGCTATACTCACCAAAAGTTGCAGAATTGAAAGTCGTCCATCCGTCAACGAAGCTTCGGTTTCCGGTGATAATAGTCTGGTTTATCCCGTCTCCGATCATCATTAGGTACTTCTTGTTCTTTGGCACGGATACATACTCTTCGTACACGCCGGCCTTTATGTATATAAGGAAATAGCCATTTGTCCCGTCCGAATTATTCGGAGCAACCGCCAAAGCATCGTTAATCGTCCGGAAGCTTCCCCTTCCGTTTTGGCTAACGACCACGATATCACTAATGGCGACATGACTGTCGATTTCTTCGTCGGCCGCCTGAAGTAGCCTCCGGTTGGTCGCCGTCCGGAAGATTCTCATATTCTTCTCCGACATTCGAAAGTTGAACCGCCCGTCACTCGACTTGAGTTGCTTATTGAAAAAACCGGCCGGAAAACCGCCGTGGTGATGATGCGGCCGCCTCCTTTTTCTATCGTGAACGTAACTCTTCGTGAACAAAGCCAACGACAAGCTAAAAAGCTGCGTGTCGTTGGATAAAGGATGCACGACTCCGGCCCGGACCCTCCATGCGGAGGCAGTCGACTGGAGGCCGTCGATGCACGTCTGTGCGTTCGTCAGTATCGCGCTGAGTAGGGTTTGTACATCGTCGATTTTGAGCTGGGGGAGCGTTTGGGACGAGGAGTTAATGTTTTGGTCGAGGGTTAGGGACGAGTTAATTAGGTTATCGACGTTGCACTGCGCAAGGAATTCGCAATCTTGCAGTGCTCGGACGGCTGTTGGGGTTAGGGTTTTGTTCTTCTGGAGGTTTCTTTGGATGAGGGCAACGAATTTTTTGGCGGACAAGTAGGATTTGTGGAGGGAAGTTCGAGTGTAATTGTGGATGCTGGACGAGGAGGATTCTGATCCAGTGAGAACGGTGTTGCAGAAGGAAGGATAAGGGGTGGATTTGCAAATTGTGGAAAGTGGTGTAGGGTTTGATATTGAGTTTGGTTGGGAGAAGACTATAGGGAGGAGGAGGAGAAGGATTGAGAGTGTTGTGAATGGGGAGTGTAGAGGATTTTTGGCCATTGGTGTAGACAATTTTGAAATTTGTGAGATGGAAAATGGAATAAGAAAAAAATAAAATAAAATGAAGAAATAAAGATGATGGGTTTATGAACTATGGATGTGTGAATTTATAGGATGAGAAAGTCTTGCTAGTTTTGGGACAATATGGAATGCATGTTAAGGTTGTTGATGACTTGTATGAGCATTTTTCAATAATTGTTAACTTTGTTTGAAAAAAAAAATTACTATATTCTTCTTTTTATTTTTTATTTTTTTGGTTAAGTAAATGGCAATTTGGATGTGTAGTCAACGCCCTTTGGCTTCATACTGAAAACGCGTTACAACTTACAATCTCGATCAAAGATCACTCTGCATTTCTTTTGGCTGTGGAGAAACAAAGCAAGTTGGTTGAATTGGATTTATTATATTTTTGTATGCTTGTCTGCAGCTGTTATGTAGTGTGAGTGTAGAAAAATCTAAGTCAATCATATGTTACTGTAGTTTGAAGCTTGTTGAGCAGTTTCGTGTGACCATTAAATTGAGCTGTGAACGATTCGTATTTGAGTCGATCGAGTCGAGATCGAGCAATTTCTTGATTGTTTTTACGCATTTCACACTTATTGAACATGAACGAGCATTTAATCTTGATTTTTGAGTTTAAAAAGGATTAAGATTTTGAGTAGCGTTAGTATAGCTACTGTTGGACAGGTTTAATAGTTGAGGGAAGATGTTTTTTTTTTCTAACATATGTACATCTTTCAAATTCAAATGTTAGACAATGAGAAAAATATAAATAAAAGCATGACATTTAATAGTANGGTCGCAACTCGGCAGTGCATCCTCTTTTGTTTTTTGTTTTTTTTTCATTCTTTTTGGATAAAAGGTGAGAGAATTGGGACACTTGTCCCATTTCCATTGGGCACTATTAATTTTATATGATTAGATAAGTATAACTCAAATTATTGATATTATTTTATATTAAAAAATAAAATAAAAAATATCAAAATTCGTATTTTTTTCATTTTTTACAAATAGAGACCAATCTTGATATTTTTTGGAACACAATTGAAATTATTATATTGGGTTGAGTTGTAGTTAAAACAATACAAAAAAATGTATTGTAAATAATATCTAATAAATAAATATTATGTTGGATTGGGTTGGATTGGATTAAGTTGAGGATAAAGATATGTTGGTTGTTATAACTTATAAGTTGAGTTGTGTAGGTGGAAGAGTGAAAAATAATTTTTTATTATTAAACTGGATTGAGTTGGGTTGTGGATAAATATAGTCTAACGGTTATACTAATTTTAGGAGGGCTATAAATTAAAATGTTCTTGTATTTTGTTGTGGTTATGGTCATATATTGCATCTTGTGACATGATATAATGGTTAGCTATGATCAATGTTACTTCTTGGTAATATTTTCAAGTTGAAACTTTTTGTCAAAAAAGTACACATGCAATATGAAAAATGAAAAAATATACATAAAATAGCACGATACCCGTGAGCCTATGTTATACTGGAATTCGAATTTTAAATTTATTTATCCAATCACAATGGAGCACCTAATTATTTTATATAAAAATATGTAAATGTTATATCCATCTTATAACATGTTTGGGCATAAAATTCTAGTTTTAAACTAATTGAAATCAACACGATTGAACATTTTCATTTTTCAGTCATTGACCAAGTGAAAGTCGTACTTAAATTAAGTGATAAAACATGTACTAAATTCAGATATGAGTTTTGGATAATTATTCATTACTAAGGTAAAGTTTAATTTGTGGCACAATTGATGTAATGAGACCTAATTATTAGGCCTATGTAACTATCAGGCTTCAGGCCCGTCGTCAAGTCAAATCAAATCATATATTTTAGATTGAAAGGTGAATTTATAACAACATATTAATATTATATTTATATTATTTTTTAAAATATCATCACATACAAATGTCTTTATTAATTTAGACAGGTCTATCCGTAATTAATAACGGAATTATTTTATAATTTCTAGTTTAGTTAGGACCTAATTATTCATTACTAAGGTAAAGTTTAATTTGTGGCACAATTGATGTAATGAGACCTATTTATTAGGCCTATGTAATCAGGCTTCAGGCCCGTCGTAAAGTCAAATCATACATTTTAGAATGAAAGGTGAATTTATACCTTTGACATATTAATTTTATATTTATATTATTTTGTAAAATATCATCACATACAAATGTCTTTATTTAGACAGGTCTATCCGTAATTAATAACGGAATTATTTTATAATTTCTAGTTTAGTTAGGAACCAATTTTGTACCCCTACACAATTCACGAGCAATTAGAGCTTACTTTAATATGATTCATGCATATCCAATTTTCGAAATACATATATATCTAATTAAGTTGAAATCCTTGACTTGAATAATGATTTTTTTTTCTTTATATCTTAATTTATGGGAAATTTCTGCTCAAACATCTAACTCTACCAAACCATGTGTAATTGAAGATTGTTGGATATTTAATTAGTCAATATCCTAGCATGTGAGCATATAAACATAGAATTCTTAAATTTATTAGGCTAAATTTATTGGCGAATGATTTTATTTAAAAAAAGAACAATCAAGAACTTAGAAAAATAAATTACTATATAACAATGAATTAGTTTAGTAAAAATTTATTTACTATTTCAAGTATTCGCTCAAATATGATCTCCTTTTGAAAAATAAACTTAGGTGGCTTCACATTCATCTTTTCTTTTCCTTTTGGGACAAAAATGAACTTATATTTCTTCATAAAGTAGCAATACTATTTCGTTGATTAAAATTAGACTCGTCCAAGCAATGAAAAATCTAGATAAATAATGGCGCTTAGGAATTAGTCCTATTCATGATCACAAATCAAAAGCTAATTTCATTAGTTTTCAAAATCACAAAAGCTCGATTCTGAAAAAATATAAGTTTCATATATATTAGTACAATACCCGTGTATAACACGGGTGTTGAATTAGAAATTGATAAGTAATACAAAAGTTATCAACTTTTAAAATATATTTGTAATTCAATGGTTATAATAGAAAATGATATTAAAATATAATTAATACAGATATTAATTTATATCCAAGCCTAACTCCAAAGCATGATTTTTTGCCAAATAAAATTTTGAAGCATGAGAGTTTGACACGTAGGCTCAATTTATTCTAAAATTATATATAGTGAAATTATATATAGAGGGGATGTCGTATTTTACTGCAAAAATCAAGCAATTAGAGGTCAATTCTAATCACAATCGCAAATCTATCATACTTCAGGTTCATATTTCATTTTGGTAAAATAACAATATATACCAATTAACTTAATGCTAATGGCAAAATCTATAGGTAATTTTGTAATTGTATAAAATCTCTTTATATATAATTATCGATGTGTTGAGTCTGAATGTGTTGAACCTAAGTGTCAGGCTCGCACACTTCGAAATGCTATGTGGCAAGTTATTAAGCTTTGTTGTTTTTTTTTTTTGCCAGAA